AAATATTCTTTAAAAATCCACGTTTATAGGCTGGATGAGACTTGAAAAAATATTCTTTAAAAATCCACGTTTATAGGCTGGATGAGACTTGAAAAAATATTCTTTAAAAATCCACGTTTATAGGCTGGATGAGACTTGAAAAAATATTCTTTAAAAATCCACGTTTATAGGCTGGATGAGACTTCAAAAAATATTCTTTAAAAATCCACGTTTATAGGCTGGATGAGACTTGAAAAAATATTCTTTAAAAATCCACGTTTATAGGCTGGATGAGACTTGAAAAAATATTCTATAAAAATCCACGTTTATAGGCTGGATGAGACTTGAAAAAATATTCTTTAAAAATCCACGTTTATAGGCTGGATGAGACTTGAAAAAATATTCTTTAAAAATCCACGTTTATAGGCTGGATGAGACTTGAAAAAATATTTTTTAAAAATCCACGTTTATGGTCTGGATGAGACTTGAAAAAATATTCTTTAAAAATCCACGTTTATAGGCTGGATGAGACTTGAAAAAATATTCTTTAAAAATCCACGTTTATAGGCTGGATGAGACTTGAAAAATATTCTTTAAAAATCCACGTTTATAGGCTGGATGAGACTTGAAAAAATATTCTATAAAAATCCACGTTTATAGGCTGGATGAGACTTGAAAAATATTCTTTAAAAATCCACGTTTATAGGCTGGATGAGACTTGAAAAATATTCTTTAAAAATCCACGTTTATAGGCTGGATGAGACTTGAAAAATATTCTTTAAAAATCCACGTTTATAGGCTGGATGAGACTTGAAAAAATATTCTTTAAAAATCCACGTTTATAGGCTGGATGAGACTTGAAAAAATATTCTTTAAAAATCCACGTTTATAGGCTGGATGAGACTTGAAAAAATATTCTTTAAAATCCACGTTTATAGGCTGGATGAGACTTGAAAAAATATTCTTTAAAAATCCACGTTTATAGGCTGGATGAGACTTGAAAAAATATTCTTTAAAAATCCACGTTTATAGGCTGGATGAGACTTGAAAAAATATTCTTTAAAAATCCACGTTTATAGGCTGGATGAGACTTGAAAAAATATTCTTTAAAAATCCACGTTTATAGGCTGGATGAGACTTGAAAAAATATTCTTTAAAAATCCACGTTTATAGGCTGGATGAGACTTGAAAAAATATTCTTTAAAAATCCACGTTTATAGGCTGGATGAGACTTGAAAAAATATTCTTTAAAAATCCACGTTTATAGGCTGGATGAGACTTGAAAAAATATTCTTTAAAAATCCACGTTTATAGGCTGGATGAGACTTGAAAAAATATTCTTTAAAAATCCACGTTTATAGGCTGGATGAGACTTGAAAAAATATTCTTTAAAAATCCACGTTTATAGGCTGGATGAGACTTGAAAAATATTCTTTAAAAATCCACGTTTATAGGCTGGATGAGACTGAAAAATATTCTTTAAAAATCTACGTTTATAGGCTGGATGAGACTTGAAAAAATATTCTTTAAAAATCCACGTTTATAGGCTGGATGAGACTTGAAAAAATATTCTTTAAAAATCCACGTTTATAGGCTGGATGAGACTTGAAAAAATATTCTTTAAAAATCCACGTTTATAGGCTGGATGATACTTGAAAAAATATTCTTTAAAAATCCACGTTTATAGGCTGGATGATACTTGAAAAATATTCTTTAAAAATCCACGTTTATAGGCTGGATGAGACTTGAAAAATATTCTTTAAAAATCCACGTTTATAGGCTGGATGAGACTTGAAAAAATATTCTTTAAAAATCCACGTTTATAGGCTGGATGAGACTTGAAAAAATATTCTTTAAAAATCCACGTTTATAGGCTGGATGAGACTTGAAAAAATATTCTTTAAAAATCCACGTTTATAGGCTGGATGAGACTTGAAAAAATATTCTTTAAAAATCCACGTTTATAGGCTGGATGAGACTTGAAAAAATATTCTTTAAAAATCCACGTTTATAGGCTGGATGAGACTTGAAAAAATATTCTTTAAAAATCCACGTTTATAGGCTGGATGAGACTTGAAAAATATTCTTTAAAAATCCACGTTTATAGGCTGCATGAGACTTGAAAAAATATTCTTTAAAAATCCACGTTTATAGGCTGGGTGAGACTTGAAAAAATATTCTTTAAAAATCCACATTTATGGCCTTGATAGTCCTTGAAAAAATATTCTTTAAAAATCCACGTTTATAGGCTGGGTGAGACTTGAAAAATATTCTTTAAAAATCCACATTTATGGCCTTGATAGTCCTTGAAAAAATATTCTTTAAAAATCCACGTTTATACGCTTGATGGAATTCAAAAAATACATTCTTTAAAAAATCAAAGTTTATGGCTCCGTTGGTCCTTGAAAAAATATCCTTTTGAAATCCACGTTTATGGCCCTAATATTCATTGAAAAATGTTCTTTACAAAATCCACGTTTATGGCCTTAATGGTCCTGGAAAAATTAGTTTTATTCTCCACGATGATAGACTTAGGTCTTGATTTCTTCTTTTAAATAAAACTCGTCATTTTTATCTCAAGGCGGACGCAAAAACACTTTTTATATGCTTTTATTTTTTATATATTGTTAAGTGTGTATTTGTGTGTGTGTAAATATTTAATCGAGTCATGGAAATTGTGTCTTTATAATTGAGGGAAAATTACAGTTTCCGTTTGAGTAACGAGTAATGTACCAACAAACAACTTTTCATAAAATAAACTAATACAATGTTTGCATTAAATTGCAATAAAATATGGTGGTAAGTACTGTGATATACCCAAATAATGGTAACTTTAACTCCAATGAAAAAAGGAGTAAAAAATTTACCATTTAACGATAGGTTTCACAGTACTTAAATAGGGAGACATAGTTATGTGTTAGAATATGGGGCGGCTTAGGTTAACAATCAGTTACAACCATATCGTCATTGTCATCTTCGACCTCATTGCCACGTCCTTCACGTATGCGTTTTAATTTACGCTTCAAAATCATAATGCCTGAAATGAAGAATATTATTAATTTGAATTTGTAAGTAAAGCCAAAGTGCTTACATTTAATGGCCTGATAGGCCTTGGTCGACGAACTCTCCGTTCCCGTTGCCGCCATATTACTGCTATTTAGTTTTTCATGCGCCAATTTCACTTCTAAATACGCTTTTTTCAAGGTCTTGAAATGACGATGTTCACTTGAATCCTTTAGCAAGATACACTTGGCTGCCGATCCTTCGCCCGAACAATCAGCTGGTGTATTGTGGTAAATTTGATGATAGAAATATTGTAGAATTGGTGAATTCCAAATACTTAGGCCATACCACAGCCATATGACAATATTTAGGCTAATTTTGAAATTCTTGGCAAACAGAGTTGGTACCAAATACTTAAAGGGCAGCAAAGTGATGAAGACATGGAACCTAGGAGGGAAAAGGGATAATTTTTTATACAAGGTATTGAGAGCCAAATTTAAAAAAAAAAAAGTTTTGAATTACCAGGCAACTAATGATGTGATTTTTGCTTACCATGATGCAATACGAAATCCCAAGAATATCTGATACACCAAAATATTTCTCTTCGAATTTTGCAATGCTAAAAGACTGAGAATTTCTGTAATGATATTATAGATTCCCAAAATGAGGTTAACACCCACAAAATAGTTTTCATATCTGAAAAAGAGTGGTTGTTTCAGTTTAAAATATAAATAATAAAATGTAGAACTTTACCTGTAGGTATCAATGGCCACCAATGACATTAAAAAGAGAGCCTTTGATGCCGACTCCAAGTAATCAGATTCTTTGAAATCCAACATAGCACCATGTAGATAAAATGTTATAATAAACAGCGAATAGAATTGAAATTTTTCACATTGCTGCGATTTATAAAATATGTGATCTTCAGATGAATAGAATAGAGAGTAACGTCCTTGATTCTTAAGCAGCTGAGGCAATATCACCCATTCATTATACATGTACAGGAAGAGAGTACATGCAGCATAGAAGGCTATATTCCAGATGGAACGGGAAAATTGTTTACGTTTATAGTATTTGATATTCGAAGTTTTGAGAAAGACCTGAAAAGGAGGGAAACAGGTTAAAGTTAATTTCTTTGAAATATACAAAAATAAAGTTCTAAAATAATTAGGGTATAATTGGCGAAATCAAGATCTGCAATACAGACATAGATCGGAATACTGTAAAAAGGATGGAAGCACTTTACGTTGTTCGTCCTTATGGCGCCAACGAAGACGGTTTTGAATTTTCTATTTTTTTCTCCTCACCTTTATGAGACATAAATTCTCAAGTTATGGGTGCTTGTAGCTCCAGCCAAGACGGTATTGAATGTCTCTATTTCCTTCTCATAGTCATGAGACATAAAATTTACAAATCATGGGTCTCATGCAGCTATGGGTCTCATGCAGTGATGACTTTCTGATGTTTTTTGCTACATTTTTTCACGGATTTGTCTAAAATGGGTTTTTGTAGGTTACAATGAGTCCTAGTTCCGGTGGCCAAACATTGTATGTATAAGTTCACGTTTTTGTATAGCCCCCATATAAGAGTACTTCTAGATATTTCGTATTTTAATGATTTTTTCCACATTTTTCCACGGATTTGTCCAAAAATTGGTATTTGTAATTCGTAATGGGTCCTACAGTTTTAAACCTGACAGTTTTAAACCTGAGCCATGTGACAAATAATTGACGGAATTTCAATTTTAAGATTAAAATTATAGTTGGCAACGCACTATATCCAACGACTAACATGAACCATTTAGCTTCGACACAAACCCGCTTGGCAATCACAATAACTTCGTCTGCTGATGAAATATAGAGCAAGGCCGGCTGCCAATTAGCGGCGATGCATCTGTGCAACTAGAAAAACTATAAAATGGATTAGAAATATCATTTCAGTTCCTAGCAATGCTTTAGAATATACCTTACACAAATAGCAACAATTATTATTATGGATATTCTGGGTTATATGTATGGTCAAGAAAAACATTGACGCCGGCCATCTTAAATTGCACTTCTCCCGACTTTCTTTTCTTTTCGCAATAAAAATACAACAACTCTACAGATAAGTTATTTGGTTTTGTTATTAAAAGCAATCAATCAATAACAATTTTTCATTCGTCCAACGCGAGTGCAACAGCCCACCGGGTCGGCAAACAAAGTGCAATATTTCAAGTATTCTACTGAAAGGTAATTCTTTCCTTTTCTCTGGTGGCTGACAAGCCCCGATAAATCTATTTTTAATTACCACCAAGGATGTTCCGCACACACAACACCAATCGAACTTACCTGAAACAAATTGTGAAAACCAACAAAACCAAAGCTGAAGAGTAGAAATATCCAGAAAACTGCATTGGCCAAATAATTGAAATTGATATTCTCCACAAAGGCATCGAAACGATCTGTGGTTATGAGATACTTCAGTGGTAAAAAGAAGTTACTAATTTCCTCAGCCAGGGAGGGTTTGCCGGATCTCATGTCCAGAATACTCATTGTTGGGCCTTTAATTTGTGTATTTCCACTTGATTTAATGCAAACGTTTCAGGTGGCTCAGAGAGCAAATTGTGTTGCACATTTTTTTCTTGTTAAAATTATCAGCTTTGTGCTGGTCTCTTTTTTGTTTGGGCGATGGCAAAAAAAACTATTTCTTCTACATCTGTTTTGGCTGGTGGTGCTTTGCAGTGACGACGCGATTTGTTTTGTTTATGAAAACAACTAAAAACTAGAACAGCTGTAATTCCAATTGAGTGGGGTGGTGAAACAAAGTCGTGTTATGTGTTTTTTTTAACGCCGTTTACTTTTTCTAATAGCGCAACGCCGTCTTATCAGTGTTGTCATTGTGGTGATTTTTGGATGGAAGTAATTTGGAGTTGCATTACAAAAACAAAAAAAAAAAACAAAGATATCGAAAAAAATTGCAAAACTAGTAGATTCTTGCAGGTTTTGAAACAGAGAATTTGTTCTAACATGTGGTGTGTTCCAGAACTGCTAGAATGTAAAAGTTTTTACTAGGATATCCGATTTTCCGTTTATGATATCGAAAAAATTTTTCAAAACTAGTAGATTCTTGCAGGTTCTGAATCAGACCAATACATACCAAATACAACAATTGAACAATATTAATTAAAATAAGTAATTTTAATTGAAACTTTTATAATTTGCAGCCTAATTTCTAAAAAATGGATAAAATAAGGGTAAGTAACATCATAAGTAAATCCAACTTAAATTCTTCATTTATCACAAATAACACACATGGTTGGGGTCTTACTTACACTACAGAACTTACCACGACTGGCCCGCATTAAAAACTATCCCACAAATCCCATTGAAATGTTCAAAAACGTACTGGAAAGGGTTAAGCCACCTCACATCTTTCCCATGAATTTGGCCACATTGGATAAGTAAGTTACTGGCAATATTTTCTTTGTAATTTTTGTTAATAAATTTAAATTCCAATTTTAGCGAATTTGGCGTTTTAAATCGTGCGGTAATATATCGCGGCCTGCTGGATGATTCATGGATATGTTTTGTAACCGAACGTAATTCCCGAAAATATCAAAATCTTAAAGAGAATCCCAAATTGGGTTTAACCATGCTCTTCTATCCGGATGCCCATAGAGTTGAGGCGAAGGACGTCATGCCTGAGGTATGGCAAATACGTTTAATGGGTGCCGAAGCTGTAGAATTGGATGAAGAACAGTTGAAAATACTATGGCAACAGGAACCGCTGCTTGCCAAAATACGCAGTCACATTTGTGAATGTGGTAAACCGAGTAATATCGCAGAGCTTGAGAAGCTGTTACAAGAACAGCTGGCCATAATGGAAAAGGAAAAACGGAAACCGGAACAAACGAAAACATAGTAAGAGAATTATTATGTGTTTAGAAGCCATTAGAATATGTTCTGTTCCAGAACTGCAAGAATGAAAAACTTATCTCCACGATAACCGATTTTTCCTTTATTATATCGAAGAAAATTGAAGAACTAAAAAAAGGGTTCCCATCCCTGATTTCTGTGTATACAATGGATTTAAGGAAATACATAAAATACTTTTTTGACTGGCTTAAGGCTTTGGGTGTCTTCTTCGGAAAAGAAGAAAGGAACGTAAGGCCAAAATCGAACCAAAGTACCCTAAAACTCCTATGTTTCTATACGAAGAAGACAGACGATGACTTAATTTCGTCAAAAAAAACTTTTTATGTATTCTCAGCTTTATAATATAAATTTGACAACTAGATGTTGTCAAACGAAAACTTTTGAAAAAAATGTAATCATATGAGTATGATAGAGCCTACGAATTTCTAATTTTTGTCTAATATATTACATGGAGCCCCACCCGAAACAAATTAATGGAATTTTTCTCTTATTTTATTTCCAGTACTGGCTTTAAAATCATACCCAAATATTGGGATTTCTATATGTCGGAGCCGAATACGATTGCTGATCGGTTGCAATATAAACAAGGGGAAAATGGTGAATGGCAGGCCTATCACGTTGATGCCTAATTGAAAACAATACATAATAATAACAATACTATATTTTTTGTTATTAATTTTTATTATTTATATTATTATATTTATAACGTAACACATTTTCTTTATTATTTGTTGTAAAACATTTTGCAAAGAAGGGTCAAGGACAAAAAACAATGGTTGGTGTACACAAATCAAAATGTTAACTTTTCATAACTAACAATAAAAATACATTTTACAAACAAAATGTAATAATTAATAATATTATTTAAATAAATATACCATGTAAATACATACACACGCCCACATACATTTCTGTGTGGGTGTGTAGTTAATAATTCGTTGTTGTCTTATTTGATAACTTTAAAGGACTCTGCTTAAAATTAAATTAACTTTTTGGAGAGAAAAAAATGTTGAAATAAAATTTTAAATAGAATATTTTAAATAGACCCAAAAAATTATTATTGCAGGCATTCAGTTGTACTCATTCACACAGTCTCAAGCATACAAAACAAGCGTTCCAGTTTTAAAATTTATTAAATAATTTAAAAAGGAAAAATCCTTATTCGAAATAATTTTGAAATAAAGTGTTAAGTTATTGTAAAACACAGTCGAACACGATTTTAACAAAATCGTTTGTGAGGCCTACAGAAACAGCTCTATAATTTGAAGACCTATGGCAGATTTTTTTTCTATGAAAGACATTTAGAAATAGTTGCGGTGATAGAAGGCCTGTAGATGGTCACCTATTTACAGGAGACCTAGATAATGTCGCCTGTTTGTGGAAGGTTTGTAAAAATCCTCTCATCCATTGAAGAACTGTAGGAGGTTTTCCACAAAAGACCAAGATCAGAACGTGTTCGGTAACATTTTTTAAATAAAACTGATTTTTTTAATTGTTCCTGTAAAAAATAGGAAGAAGCTCCATTAAAGGTCTATAAAAGGCCTAAGTAAGATATCAATAGAAACCCCTCTATTTGTAGAAGACCTATAGAGGGGCATATATCTCTCATGGTCTCTGGAAGCTCCATTAAAAACCTATAAAACGCTTAAGTAAGAGATCAAAAAACCCCTGTATTTGTTGAAGACCTATGGAGGGGCTTCTATGTATTGAAGACCTCACGTGGTGTCTGAAGGAGACTTTTGGGAAGCATTTAATCTTTGGATAGCCTGTAGAAGCTCCATTAAAGGCCTATAAAACCCCTAAGTAAAAGATCAATATCAACCCCTATATTTGTAGAAGACCCTTAGAAGCCTACAGAAGCCTTTTGGGAGACCTTTAACCTTTAGATAACCTATTGAAGGTAGTCTACCAGTAGAGCTTCTTTGGGATGTATTTTACCTACATATATAGGACCTCGGTAAGGTATTCGGTCTTTAGTAGACCTCCGAAAGACATTCAATGTTCAAAAACATACTGCAAACTATTTAAGTCATTTGGATAACCCCATGGAAGGTATTCAGAGGACCACAGAAGACCTCTAGAAAAAATCTTCCTACGGAAGACCTCTTAAATATCCTAGAGAAGGTCTTATATTTATATAATATCTATGTAAAATCTGAAAGATCTTTGGAACTCTGAATGTTATTTTATATAAAGAAGACTTCTCAAATACCGTCTACCCATGGAGGATCTCTGGAATGTATACAAAGAATACCTCTGGGATGTGTCTATCAAAAAAGTACTACGAAAGTCCTCAATATTTAGAAGACCTCTGAAGAGTGATATGTCTATAGAAGATCTCTGGAATATATTGTATGAACACCTGTGTAAAATCTGACAGATCATTGGAAAATCATATAGAAGTCCTATGAATAGTATTGTATCTAAAGAAATATTCTCGAATATCATATACCTGTGGAGAATATCTATATTCCGTCTATAAAAAATTTCTGGGGTGTGTCTATCAAAAGGACACCTGGAATAGTTAGAAGACCTCTGGGATTCTTTTATACATAGAATAGATGTTGGAAACGTCTACTGATCTCTGAGATGACCTTTCTGTTTGTTATCGAGAGAACACTTCTTTCTATAGAGGACTCTGGAAGCATTTAATTTTGGAAGGCCTCTAAAGGGTTTTTGTCTGTGGAATACGATTTTAAGGCCTTTTATCTGCAGAGGAAGACCTCTTAAAAGTGTTATACTTAATGATCCCTGAATAAACCTTTCGTCTGGAAGATCTATGGAAGGACTGCCAAAGTCTCTAGGATGTCGGTTATGTATGAAGAATATCTGGAAAGTTTTTCTTCTTTAGAAGATATTTTTCTACATAGGACTTCTGAGTTGTCCATTATTTACAGAAGACTTCTAAGAGGACTTTTATTTATAGAGCCTCTGAAAGCCATGGATGGTCTTTTACAAATGTTTCTTCAGGCCTGAGTACATCCAACTTAAATACCAAAAGATTCTCCGAAATCGGGTTCGACTGCATACAGAAATATAATTTAACACCTACATGGATAGAGAAACAAGATTGTTTTAAACAGTTTTTTTTTTCAAGAAAACCCTCCTAAACCTTTTTTTAGATAAAACAAATTAAATGAGAAGCACATAAAGGCTAGTTCTATTTACATGCGTAGACATGTAGGTTTTAAGCCTATAAACATATTTTAAGGACATTACAATTAAATATAGATTATTAAAAAAAAAAACGAAAAAAATGCAAGTTATTTTCATTAATTAAGATGCTGCTTACCAAACAAGTAGAGAGAAAGAGAGAGAACTAACAAGAGAGAAAAGAGAGAGTGAGTAAATAAAGTGCTACTATTTACAAAGTGTTACTGCTGCTTGGCGGCATATTTTGTTTTATTTTTTTCTTTAGCCTAGATAACATGCATGATCATGCCACACACCATTTGCTCATAATCATTCATACGCTCGCACACACACACACACACTCACTCATACACACTTTAGTCACAAACATACATCTACACACACCTCCCCCCTACTTTACTTATGACGCATGAACCGTTTCCCTTATCCAAGCGGCATTCGATGCTATTTTGTCATACATTCTTGGCCTTTCAATGCCCGATGCGGCACATGCTATTCTCCATGAGGACACACCAACCAATGCCCATTGATTGGTGCCCGGTATTAGACATTGCACTGGAGCTCCGGCAAATTCTTCTTGCTGTAATGAAAAACGATAAAAAGAGAGAGAGAGAGTTTGGCAAATTAATAAATGGGGGAAAAATTAGTTATTGTTGGAAGTATATATGAAGGACAGTGGCTCTAAAAGAATATTTTAAATATAGATATGTTTTATTATTATTATATTTTATTGTAATTAAATTAATTAATTTAATATATATTATAATTTTTTAATGTTATTTTTTTATTTAAACATTAAAGGAACATACAGAGATATAAATAAATTAAGCAAGGAATTTCCAAAAATAAGTTGGTTTTGTTACTTAAGACTTTGCAAAAATCTTTTTACAAAACATTTGTAAAAATTTGCTATGGAAATATTAATAATACATGCTCTAAAACACATTTAGTAAATGTTTTCAAATTTAATCATTTATTGTACAAGCAGACAAAATATGTAGTTTCTATAAAACTCGGCGGTACTATCGAATTAGATTCTTATGACCAACGTTGGGCGCCACATTTTCTTCCATTCGTATTGTCATTAGATGAAACCCAATACATACGAATATCGAAACAGTATAAAAAATCATAAAACCTAGACTTCCAGATGCCACATAATTCATACTGACCTCCTACGAGTTGGGCGGTAATGTAGTCCTACGAAAATCCGAAATGCTCAATTAGACTCATATCAGTAATAAATTAAGGATGGATATCATGATAACTCTGAACTTCTAATTGGCTTGTAAATTAGAAAAAAGTGGCAATAATGAAGAGTTAACGTACAGGGTGAGATAAAAAAAACTGCAACAACGGCATAATTTTTACATTTTTTTTAGTTTTATTGAATGAAAGCAAAAAATGTCGCATCGAATGTTAAGAATAAGTTTAGATTTGTTCGAATTGGTCACCTTTGGCACGAATTATTGCCTTCAGACAGCCAATGAAACCGTCACACGCTGCCCGAATGTTGCTCAGCGGTATTTTGGCCCATTTCCGGCGAAGCGCTTGCTTGAGGTGATCGACACTTTGGTACTTTTTAGTGTCATCCTTGTTTACCAAAATACTCCAGACACAATAGTCCAACGGATTGGTATTCGGAGATTTTGGTGGCCATTTTGCGCTGGAAATAAAGCGAAGAACCTCATTTTGTAACCATTCTTGGGTGGCGCGTGCTGAGTGCGATGGTCCTGTTGTAGTGTCCAAGGCCTGCGGTGAAAATGTTTGCATAACCAAGGCTTTAAAACACCCTCCAGAATATTTTCGCGATAATATTTGGCATTTATTCTGATGCCACGGTCGATTAATACTAGCGTAGAGCGACCATCGGCTGTTTTGGCCGGTGCTTGAGTTCTGGTGGGAAGTAAACACCATCATTTTGTTTGATTACAAGCTGCTGGACAACGAATTTTCTCTCATCGGAGAAAACTGAAATTCGGCAGTTCACCACTTTCGGCCAAGCGAAGCAACTCTTTAGCTCTTTTGAGTCTATTTTCTTTCTGTTGCGGTGTAAGTTATTTCACTTTTTGGAATTTAAATGGCTTTACCCCGAGCTTTTTTTTTCAATATTTGCCGAATGGAATATTATATATTGCGATATGTTTCAGCTCACAAGCCATTTTTCGGCCACGGCGACGCGGGTTTCGATCAAGTTGCTTCTTTACTTTTCGAACCATTTCTGCTGATGTTGCTGTTTTCTTCCGTTCACTTCCTTGACGTCGGGCTACGCTACCAGTATCACGGTAACGAGCAATATTACGAGACACAAAAGATTTATTTACATTTAAATGCTGGAGTAGCCACTTGTAGTTTTCCAGCCAAATATAAAGAAATCACACTATCACGCTAGAATTCCATCACGAATATTTTTTTTTTGAAAAATTCTCACCAAAATGCTTTTGTGCGCTTGTAAACAATATAATGAGCTGTCACTGGAATAATTTTAACAACTGTCGGACGAGTGGCTTAGAAATGACAGCAGTCTGAAGTTGGTTGCAGTTTTTTCATCTCACTCTGTATATTAGAAGCTAAGGGTCACCAGTCTCGGAGTATTTAAAATCAGTTTTCTGACCCAGAGGGGTCGAGAACATTTTTTCGATTAAAATAGTTTTTAAAAGATTTTTTTTTTTTCAATTTTCTGAATTTCTAAAACACGTTGGGCGCCATTGTTGTTTAGATATTTGTATCTGAACTAAATTTCATGTAAGAAAGAAAATTTGGTTGCATTAAAATTTGGATTTTTGGCGATTCTATTCAAACTATTAACGTGGGTTGGCCGTAGAAATTCATATTTTTATTTCCGATCCATATTCGATTTTTAGATGTAATTTCACGTTTATCGGTTTCCATACTACGTTGGGCGCCATTGGTGGTAAACATATGATAAAGAAATTCAGTATTGTTGACATTTATTTTATGTTGTCCACGAGTCTTGCCACAATTTTGGGTCCAATTGATACTAGACTCGGTTACGATACTGTACCAGAATCTATCTTGGCATCGGCTTTACAATTTTTATCGTTGCTTGCTTTTTGGTTTCCATAAAAATTAAAAATCGAAAAAATATTTTGTGACCGCAAAATAGTAAAAACACTGATTAAACGAGTAAAAAAGGTATAAGTTCAGCCGGGCCGAACTTTTAATAACCTCCACCATTTGGTACGAATTTGGCAATTTTCAAAAAAATAAAATCCCTTCAAAATTCTGTAAAAATCTTAAAAATATAGAATGTGGCCATTATATTAGGATCTTTACGACGACGTTCAAATGCGAAACTTAAAAAAAATCGGTAATAATGGAGCTAAAATCATCAAAATACCGAATATAGGGAGGTAATATTATATAGGGGATATACAAAAACGTGGACCTGTACAGACAATTTTCTGTCATAGGCTGTAGTATCCATTACGAACTTCAATTACTAAATTTGAAACAACTTCGGTGAACAGTGTCGCTAAAATCATCAAAATACCGAATATGGGGAGTATGTGGGGGCTATACGAAGGCGTGGACCTGCACAGACAATTTTCTGTCATAGGCAGTACTATCCATTACGAACTTCAAATACCAAATTTGAAAAATTTCCGGTGAATAGTGTCGCTTAAATTACCAAAATACCGAAAATAGGGAGGTACATTTATAAGAGGGCTATACCAAAATAGGGATGTACCATTAGATGGGGGTATACCAAAACGTGCACCTACATGGCCCATTTTCAATACCAAAAGTCCTGCAGACATAATATACATTTGAGTATAATTTTATCAACCTGCTTCATTTCGTTCGGAAGCTAGAGTGATTTCCGCAGACGAACAGACATAGAATTTTATGCTGATCAAGAATATATATACTTTTGGGGTCTAAAATGTATATTTCGAGGTGTTACAAACGGAATGGCAAACTTAATATACCCTCCATACTATGGTGGAGGCTATAAAAATAGATTTTATGAAAATCTACATCGATTTTCAATACCAAAAGTCAATGGAAAATCGAGTTGGACGCCAATTTAAAAAAAAATTACAGATCTCCAACAAAAAGACGAATACCTATGGGAGATCCTAAATTGGGAAAATCACAAGTCGATCATGTTTTATTCGTCTTCCTTTCAAGACCCTCTTTTTCTATGGCAGTTTCTTAACTGGGAGAATTTTTTTAGACGGCAGCTTTACAATGGTTTGAGAAAGTTTCTCGTTAATTTTCTGAGAAAATATGGGTCGATTTTAAATTGAAAATTTTTAATTGTAATAATTTACCGCCTTCGGTGCTGTGGTAATTGTCCTTGCAGGCACCAAAGACTCTCTTTAAGTAAGTCATGATTTATTGCAGCTGACTAAATCAATAACTCAAAGTAATAGCGATTATCCTGTATTGTTTCTTTTTGCCCGTATTATCCCACTGTAGTACGTGTCAAACAAAAACAACAACAAATACCCTGCGATGTTACATGAAAGAGCAACCGAAATTGAATTTAGAAGGAACAGAAAAAAACACATGCCCGTGCATGAATTCGCATGATTTATTGTCAAAACAACTTAAAGAAAGTGTATGAATGGAAAAACAGAGAAGGGTGCAAATACGTTATAGAACGTGCTACCTAGCCGCCAGCCAGCCAGGCTGGCCAGTAATGCTTCACAGATAATGCATTTGCTATTGTTTCGATGCGAATCAACAGTGTTTTGTTGTTACTTTTTTTTTTTTTTGTTTTGAAAATAATTGCAGATGTTCTGTTGGCCTTATCGCATTTAAGGGTTGTTTTTGTATTCAAGATCCTGTTTTTATGGAAGAGAGGGAGAGATAGGCAATTGAAATTAACTAAAACTAGAACAGAGAGAGAGAGGGGGTGATAATTATAATCAAGAGAGGGGAGAGAGCATAGTGGGAATCATATGTTTAGCTGCATTTAACGGCCAAAAAACAAAACAATATCCTTTGTAGAGAGAGAGAGAGAGCGAGAGATGGAGAATAATGCAATAATTGGAGTTTTAAGAGAAAAGAGATTGAGAGAATAATTACGTACAACTGAGTCATGAGAGTTAACACATCTAACGGCCTGTATTCTGTGAATTCAGTCGTCGCATAAAAGTGCGGCCTCTGCTACAGCGACCAAACAGTATTGACTGAGCAAGCAAGCAGAGTAGTAGTATTTTTTTTTACAAAATCGCCGAAAATAATTAAACAGAATGACATTGAAAAATACCCTGAAGGTCTCCTACAAAGGATTAACACGGAATATTGAGTGTGATTCCACTCTGCCCTATGAGGATGTGGTTAGCAAAGGTAAGTTCTTCTGCAAAAAAATATTAAATACCAATTGGAATAATGAATTTCATCATTCTCTTTTTAGTTATGGAAACCTTCGATCTAAGTCACATCCAACGCAATGCCATCCAGCTGTACGATGAACATGGTGCAAAATATGATAAGGAAATATTCGAATATTTTATTTTGCTGTTTCCCAATCCCCAGAAATTGTTCTTTATACGAGTGGATGCCTCAATGTTGCTGACATCGTTACCCCCGACAATAGAGAATCCAGAAATTGAAACCCAGCCAAGACAAGCCTTTAAAGTCTCCAAGAAGACAAATAAACTAAAGGAAACCACAAATACCCATGGCGAAGCTGTACCCGTTCGAAGACAAAATTGTTTCATTGGCCAGTGGCCTGGAACCGAGACAACAAGTGCCGATAATCAACAACAACAAGAGACAAACACACACCAGGATATTGTCCGAGGCATCGTGAACCGTTACAAAATGTTCCACAATTCACACAATGCCAGAATAAAATCCACAACAACACCGACAACAACGAGTGTGGTAAAACGTTCCATAAGAATTTGAATGGACTCGTAGTAACCACTCACCCACATCGTACATATGTTAAGCTAGTGTTCCTAATGTAGATTTAATCACTTTGTAATAACAAAAACCACACACACAACTGTACAAAACTCCTAGAGATAACTGATATCATCAAATCAATGAAATGTATGTCTGTAAATATATATTTTGTAAGTAACGAAACTTACATTTCATAAAACATATTTTAAACCCAATGTTTTTTACCTGTCCGGTGTTTGTTTAGGTGATTGGGAGGAAAGGATTACCTTGAGAGGAGATAAGAACGGGAACAGACAAGTGTAACTTATAATGGAAATTATTACCTGTAGCGCGATTCTCTAACTCTTTTTTGAATTACAGACGAAAAAATCCAGAATTTTGAAATAAACAGAATTTAAGGTTGACAACATTGGTATCTACCGGTAAGTCCTAGAGACTACTTTAATTTCCGACAAATTTCGTTAATTATCGCAAATATAATTATTTTAACATTACCGACTTTTGTTGGTATCTCAAAAAATGAGTTGGATGTGATTTAAAGGAAGGAGACGGATTAAATGCCATTTTTATAACCTCCGCCATAGTTGGAAAGTATATTAAGTTTGTCATTTCGTTGGTAACACCCCGAAATATACATTTTAGACCCCATAAAGTATGTATATTCTTGATCAGCATAAAATTCTATGTCGATTTAGGATTTTATGATCGTTTTGGCTATTCAAAACTTTGACCCTTTGTGGGGGAGGTACCAGACGGAATGGTCCGACTTCTACCATCTTTATAGCAGATCTTGTGTTGATAGAAATATTGAGATGTGTCAAGTCTGAATGGAATTGTATGTTAATTTCGTATGTTTATGAGCTTCATGGATATTCAAAATTTTGACCCTTTGTGTGCGAGGTTCCAGAAGGAATGGACCGATATATTTCATCTTCACAGCAGATCTTGTGTTACTAGAAATAATGAGATGTGTGAAATATGAAGAGAACCGATTCCTTATTTCGGACTTTGTAATCGTTTTGGTTATTCAAAACTTTAAACCTTCGTGGGGGAGGTCCGATCGCTACCATCTGTATAACAGATCTTGTGTTGATGGAAATATTGAGATGTACCAAGTCTGAACGGAATCTGATGTTAATTTCGCGTTTTATAAACTTCATGGATATTCAAATTTTTGAACTTTTGTAGGGGAGGTACCAGAAGTAATAGACCGATATATTTCATATTCACAGCAGATGTTGTGATAGTGGAAATAATGGGATGTGTGAAATATAAAGAGAATTGGATGTTTATTTCGGATTTTATAATCGTTTTGGTAATTCAAAAAATTGACCCTTTGTTGGGGGGAGGTACCAGAAGGAGGGGACCGATATTTCCCATCTTTACACCAGACCTTGGGTTGATAAAAATGTTGCGATATGTGATATTCGAAGACAATCGGAGTCGTACGTCACATTTTATTAGAATTATAATCATTCAAAAATTTAACCCTTTGAGAGGGAGGCACCCAGGCACTGATGCAAGTATTAGGATTTGCAAAGTTGAAGCAAAATCGATTGATCCTTGTGGGTCTGTCGATCGGTGAACAAATATTTTTGTAAAAAAATTTAATTTTTTTCATTGGTCCTTTAATTTTTTTTTTTAAAAAACCACATCCATCCTTGAAAATATATTTGTAGAAATTTCACGTTTTCTGGCTGGGTTGGCACTTGACTCCGTATATTAAAAAAAAAATAAGTTTCGTGGCTGCATAGTCCTATAAAAAATATTTTTTTGAAAAAAAAAAAAAACTTAAAAACGCATGTTTTGTGGCACAGTTGGTCCTTGGAGAAAATGTTTGGAAAATCACGTTTTGTGTCCCTGTTGGTCCTTAAAAATAAAAATCGTTCAAAATCCCAGTTTTGGGACCAATCCAGAATCCAATATTTTGTATGTTTTGGACCTCTGAAAAAAACCCCAAAAAATATTGAATGTGTGACTCAGTGGGTCCTTTGAAAAAAAATCTTTAAAAAAACACGTTTTGTTGCTAGAGAAAGAATTAAAAATGAATTCTTGGAAAAATATTTTTTAACTTTAATAGCCCTATAAAAAATATTTTTTGACAAAAAATAAAGCTTAAAAAACATGTCCTTGGATCTTGGAAATAAAAATCTTTAAAAATCCTTTGATCCTTGAGCAAAATATTCTTAAAGAATCCAAGATTTTGGCTCTGTTGGACCTCTGAAAGAAATCCTAAAACACTATAGAATTTATGGCTCTCTTGGTCCTTGAAAAAAATTTGTTAAAAATACACGTTTTGTGTCTCTCTTGGTCCTTGGAGAAAAACATGAATTCTTGGAAAATATTTTAAAAATCCATATTTCCTGAAAAAAAATTAAAAATCCACGTTTTGCGGCTGTGTTGGTCCTCGGAAATAAAGAATAAAAAAGTAAAAAAATTGTGGTTACGTTCTTGGAAATAAAAATCTTAAAAAATCCAATTTTTGGTGTACTACTGGTTCTTGAAAAAAAAGAATCTAAGATTTTGGCAGTGTTAGACCTCGGAAAAAATGTTTAAAAAACATAAAATTTGTGGCTCTGTTGATCCTTGGAGAAAATATTTAAAAATTAATTTTTGGAAACATATTTTAAAAAATCTATGTTTTTGGTTCTATTGTTTCTGGGAAATTTTTTTTTAAAAAATCTATTTTTTTAAATATTTTTCCAAAAATTAATTTTTTAATTTTATCTCAAAGGACCAACAGGGCCACAAAATTTATATTTTTAAGCCAGCAAGCTGTATTGACCCTTCGAAAAAATTCATAAAAAATAAGAATTTGTGCCACCTTTGGTCCTTGGAAGAAATTCTTGAAATCGAGTAAAGATATAGATGTTAGCTATATCCAAATCTGACCCGATCTCGATAAAATTTGGCCAAAAAAATTTCTGAGATGTATTGAATATATTTCCTCGAATATCGTTGTCATGGAGTGTATATTACGGCTGTAAAGGAAAATCGGAGAATTTTAACAAATCGGATGAAGAATATATATGAGATCTATAGCTATATCTGAGCCGATTTCCACCAAATTTCCAGGCTCAATTTGGCTATATGTGTCAAATTCCAATTAATTTGGTCAATATTACACGCTTGGTGCACAATAAAGGGCAAATCGGACGAATATATAAATGGAAGCTATATATATATATTTTGGCCGGTTATCTCCAATTTCAATACGGGTCGCCAAACAAACGATTTGTGCAAAATATCATATCGATCGGGCAATAAATGTGACCTTTGTTTACAAAAATTCATTGCTTCCGGACATGCGTAAATCGACTCAGATTTTGATTCTATGGAGATCATCAGAAGGAACTATGGGTCTAACTCCGTTCCTTCTCTATGTTAAAAAAAGGGTGGTGTAGGGTATAAAAAATTATAACTTCCCTCTGTATCCCTAAGACATAGGATATAATACTCCTCTCAACTTACCGTGCAGTCATGCTTCTGATATGTCGCCTCCGTGCACATGCTATTCACCGTGGCGATTGAGACATTCTCACACGCCGCCATGTCGCCAATTTTCAGCTGGACTCGCTGTAGATGATCACGCTGTCGTGACCAACCCAATGTATTGCACATTGTCCACATTTGTTCGGGTTGCTGATCCGCCACACTCGTCGTTGCCTTGGCACCAACACCAGCCGGTGTTGTTGCTGCGGCTGTCTGATTTACACCATAATATTGCACTTGAGGATTGCTTTCGGGCAGGGGGTAGCTGTCTAAATCCATCGTTTCAACTTCCGAAACCAGGGATTCAGCTTGAGGCATTCTATAGGCAGATGATTCAAAGGAATCATTCATATTTTCATCGGAATCTGAAATTTCTGAGCTGGTTGTAAAGGCGGGCAGTTCGAAATATTGTTGGGTCTCGTGTTCGAGAAGTTTAATGGCTTCGCCACTTTTACCCTCCAAACGTTCAGCCTTGGGTACATAGGCACGACGTTGAATTTGTTGTTCCTGGCGTCGTTGCTGTTCGTCGGGCAGGCAAATTGGGCGGACATGATCGGAAAAGACAACGGGAGTTTCAAGGCGTATCAAAGCTGCCGTGGAACCTTCTACAGGGCTTTTAATCATGCCAATGATACGACGTCTTTGGGTCCAAGGAGCCTTGGAGGCTAAGCGTACCGAGCCAAACACTGCCATCCAGGTGGCCCTAGGTTGCCCTTGGAAACAAGATTCTGTGGTCAGGACCCAATCGGGGGAAATCTGAAAGGGGAATCATGAAAAAAATCATGCCATTCGAGGTAAAATTTCCGAATTTCAATTGCTTACCAAAGTACCATCACACACATGTATATCCTCACGATATAGGGCAGCCAACCAAGGCCAATCTCCGGGCGAAGACATTTTGGGTAAGGTGAGATGTTGTTTTCCCGTCAGTACCGATTGTATGCCACACTGCAATTCTCCACAACCGACATAGAGTACCTGGCGACGGGGGCAATGGGTACGCACAAAGGAGATTTCAGGAGCATGGGGATCCAAAACCCTCACATAGTCGTTTATATTTTCTGTGTCCGTAACCACATCGAATATTTCAACGGATCTGCAATAGGAGAGGTATATGTGTTAAGTTCGGAATTGTAGAATTTTCCCAAAGGATACTAACTCATAACCCAAAGATTTGCAGAGCGACTCGGCCACAGTTTGCCGCACCACCAGCTTACTATCTCCCTCCAAACCCTCAGCACAAAGTTTTCCAACCGAACCCTTTTCCGAAAACACCGCATAGCCTTCGGGATGGAATCTCGGCAAGTAGGGAACTAAAGGCTCAGGATCAATTAATTCCGAGGCCAAGGGGGCAATGGAGACTAAAAGGAGATATTTTTGATTTATTCCAAAAATATTTAAAATCAAGTTCCTAAGACTTACGGCAATCCTTTTCATCCGAACCATCCGGACAATCGGCCTTGCCATCACATCGAGCCTTACGCGGCACACAGGCTCTACCGCGACCACAGTACAACGAATTACTTGTACAGAACGTACAAGTCCTTTCATCCGACAGATCTGGACAATCGGCAACACCATCACACAAACGAGGACTATGGGCATTCATTTGCATATCGCTGGCGCAGCGGGGCTTGTGATGACATGACTGGATACCCGTCGATTCGGGGAACTTTTCACAATCGAAATATTTCTGGAAAAGTTTGGGCAAACGATTACCACAACCCCGCATAAACTGCTCACAATACTCCCGACACATAATGCCCGGTGAGGGTTCCACATTGATCTGTCCCTCACAGGGTGGCTGCAGCAGACGGCACACAAAATCAAAAGCTTCACGGAAACACTCAGCATCGACCAGCTCACGGAAGGCTATCACATCGGCCTGTACCTCTTCGAAAGATGTATGACCCAGCAGATTAGGATATGTCGTAATATTGTATCCAATCGATCGGCAATAATTCAATTTCAGCGGTTCACAACGACGTGGTTGCCTGGGTGTGGTGGTAATAATTTCAGTGGTCTCATCATCTCCACCCAGCGGGGAAGAGGACATAATGGGTTCCTCAATCAAGCCCGTAACTTCTTTGATCATCAACGATTGGGGGTCGACGGTAATGTTGGCGAAATAACGAGGATGAGGGCTGTTGAACTCCTCGCCGAACAATGCCAAAAGATCGGCGGTATTTACCAAACCGGCATACGGATCAAAGACCATATTGAAATGGACTAAAATATCACTTTTATCCTCGAAACTGAAAAACAAGGAAAAGGAAATAAGAAAAAAGTCTATTCTGGATAGCTTGGATAATTTATTTATAGGTGGATAATGCATTTAAATAATCTATATAACTCGAAAGAAGAATCTAGATAATCGGCATAACACGGAAAATGTAAGAATATAGACAAGATATAGTGGGTAATCCACCTATATAATCTGGACAAGGCACAAAAATTGTCTACATCATTTAAAAAACGCGGATAATTTATCTACAGAGTTTGGATAACATGGATATAGTATCTTCATCATTTGGATAACGTGGATAATATATCTACATCATTTGAATAACGTGGATAATGTATCCACATCAATTAGATAACGTGTATAATGTATCAACACCATTTGGATAACGTGGTTAATGTATCTACGTCATTTGGACAACGTGGATAATGCCTCTACATCATTTGGATAACGTGGATAATGTATCTACATCACCTAGATAAAGTGAATAATATATCTACACTATTTGGATAACGTGGATAATGTATCTACATCACTTAGATAACGTGGATAATGTATCTACATCACCTAGATAAAGTGAATAATGTATCTGCACTATTTGGATAATGTATCTACATCACTTAGATAACGTGGATAATGTATATACACTATTTGGATAACGTGGATAAAGTATCTACATCACTTAGATAACGTGGATAATTTATCTGCACTATTTGGATAACGTGGATAATGTATCTACATCACTTAGATAACGTGGATAATGTATCTACACTATTTGGATAACGTGGATAATGTTTCTGCATCACTTAGATAACGTGGATAATGTATCTGCACTATTTGGATAACGTGGATAATGTAACTACACTACTTGGATAACGTGGATAATGTATCTACACTATTTGCATAACTTGGATAATGTATCTACACTATTCGCATAACGTGGATAATGTATCTACATCACTTAGATAAAGTGAATAATGTATCTACACTACTTAGATAACGTGGATAATGTATCTACATCACCTAGATAAAGTGAATAATGTATCTACACTATTTGGATAACGTGGATAATGTATCTACATCACTTAGATAACGTGGATAATGTATCTACATCACCTAGATAAAGTGAATAATGTATCTACATCACCTAGATAACGTGGATAATGTATCTACATCACTTAGATAATGTGGATAATGTATCTACATCACTTAGATAACGTAAATAATGAATCTACATCACCTAGATAAAGTGAATAATGTATCTACACTATTTGGATAATGTGGATAATGTATCTACACTATTTGGATAACGTGGATAATGTATCTACATCACTTAGATAACGATGATAATGTATCTACACTATTTGGATAACGTGGATAATGTATCTACACTATTTGGATAACGTGGATAATGTATCTACATCACTTAGATAACGATGATAATGTATCTACACTATTTGGATAACGTGGATAATGTATCTACACTATTTGGATAACGTGGATAATGTATCTACACTATTTGGATAACGTAGATAATGTATCTACACTATTTGGAAACGTGGATAATGTATCTACACTGTTTGGATAACGTGTATAATGTATCTACACCATTTGGATACACTATTTGGATATCGTGGATAATGTATCTACACTATTTCGATAACGTGGATAATGTATCTACACTATTTGGTTAACGTGGATAATGTATCTACACTATTTAGATAACGTGGATAATGTATCTACACTATTTGGTTAACGTGGATAATGTATCTACACTATTTGGATAACGTGGATAATGTATCTACACTATTTGGATAACGTGGATAATGTATCTACATCACTTAGATAACGTGGATAATGACTATTTATGCCATTTGTAATTTTCCTACGTCATCTCAAAGACGCGGGCACGATTTTTATTCATGGATAAAAATGGATAATGCATCTAAGTTATCTTAAAGCCGTGAATATTATTCGATCAATGTGGATTATGCACTTATGTCAGCCGACTTTTTTTATTTCATCCAAATAATATAAATCTAGTAGATAAAAACCGACTACTTACCCATCTAATGCCAAAATTTCGCTACCCTCATAGGCCTCACGTAAATCAGAACGTCTCACCAGCAGATTAATGCGTTCCCTATAATCCCTTGACTTTTGCTGGAACCTTAACGAATTTTGATTTGCCAAATCCATGGACCATTTGTCATTTAATATTTGGAATTTGCCACGGAAAATTCGATCAGACAATGGTTCCGGTTTGAAATAGGTATCTATAATCGAAATAAAAAATTTGAAAAATCGAATCCATTGAAACCCCCTCTCACCCCCCACTTACATCCCACATAAACAAACACGCCAGCCACCAGTAAAGCGACTAGAAATCCTGCAATCACAGCACACCCACACTTCTGACTATCTCCCAATTTTCGTCGCGTAAAGCGTATATCCGAATCTGTCGATAGTACCGATTCGGTTTTCTTTCGATGACCGGCACTCGGCAAATGGTGGATGTGACCATGACCATTGTGACTATGACCGTTCAGTGTGTGATGGGCAATATCGGCTCCCACGGCCATACCATTGCTGGTGCGATTTGGCGAATGACTGTGAGCCTTATGATGGCGGGTACAGCGGGTATTGTGAAAGACTTTGGGTACTGATGTGTTGGAAGCCTGTGATGCACTGCCGCCATTCGATGACGATTCACGTGGAGAACTGATGTTTGATGACTGCATACCCTGAAATAAAAAGAAAGAGGGTTTGGAAATTAGATGAAGAAGTAAGTGAAAGTTATGAAATAATTTTGAAAAATATTTAATAATTTCTTGAGACCAAAAAACTGTTAATGGCTTTTCGAATTATGTAATTTTTTTTTTTTTTTTTTCACGGAAGTCACCTATTACTAATTTGGTGTTAATGATCCATGAATCCATGCAGAGTCATGGTTGCATTTTGTTTATTTTTTGAAGTGAATAAATTTAGGCCTGCTCAGATTGCATGCCTTCGTAGGCCATTGGTCGCCTGCAATAAGAAATAATCTGCATATGATCGGAATGCACGTAACATGGTACCGGCATGAATACATTGCTGCATAATATTAATAAGCGATAATAAGCGAAATAATAAACATTTAAAAAATAACTTTAAAATGGGAACAGTTAATACAAATACAAGATTTTGGAAGGCATTTCGGACGACCTCTTAAATCCCTAACTTAGCTCTTCTATATACATGCAACCAAAATTTACGGGTTTCTATTTCTAGAAGACGTCCTTTAAACCTTCAGCGCATAAAAGCCTTATTTAAGGCAAATGTCAAGAAGATGTCTCACGCCATAATGTATCAACATCAATTGAATAACTTGGATAATGTATTTTTATCATCTAGATAATATAGACAAAGTATCTACACTATCTAGATTAAGTATTTTTATAATTTGGATAACGCGGATAATGAATCTATATTATTTGAATAATGTGTCTACACAATCTGGATAACATATACGAAGTATCTACATAGTCTTGATAACATAGATGAAGTATCTACATCATTAAAATACCTTATCTACAGTATCAGGATAAAGCGGATATAGTATTTACATAATTTGGATAAGGTGAATAATGTATCTACATCATTTGGATAACGCGAATAAATATCTACACCTTATGGATAATGTAGATAATGAATCTACATCATTTGGATAACGCGGATAATACATCTACACTAATTGGATAAGGTAGATAATATATCAACATCATTTGGATAACGCGGATAAGTATCTACACCTATTGGATAACGTAGATAATGCATCTACATTATTTGGATAAATCGGATATGTACCTACAATTATTGTATAGCGTAGATAATGTATCTACATCATTTGGAAAACGCGGATAATATATCAACACCAATTAGATAAGGTATCTACGTAATTTAGATAATGCGGATAAGTATCTACACCTATTGGATAACCTAGATAATGTATCTATATCATTTAGATAAGGCGGATAATACATCTGCACTAATTGGATAAGGTGGATAATGTATCTACATTATTTGGATAACGCGGATAATTATCTACACCTATTGGATAACCTAGCTAATGTATCTACATCATTTGGATAATGCGGATAATACATCTATACTAATTGGATAAGGTAGACAATGTATCTACACCATTTGGACAATGCGAATAAATATCTACACCTATTGTATGGCGTAGATAATGTATCTACAGCATTTGGATAACGCGGATAAGTATCTACACCTATTTTACAGAATAGATACTGTATCCACATCATTTGGATAACGCGGTTAATATATCTACACCTATTGGATAACCTAGATAATGTATCTACATCATTTGGATAACGCGGATAAGTATCTACACCTATTTTATAGCGTAGATAATGTATCTACAGCATTTGGATAACGCGGATAAGTATCTGCACCTATTAGATAACGTAGATAATGTATCTACATCATTTGGATAACGCGGACAAGTATCTACACCTAATGAACAACGTAGATAAATTATCTACATCATTTGGATAACGCGGATGAGTATCTACACCTATTGGATAACGTAGATAATGTATCTGGATAACATAAACATTAACTCTACAAAGTATATATATGTAGGATAAGCGTAAAATTCTAACTCGATTTAGCGATATCAGTCTTTCTGTTCTAATTACGCTATATTTCGAACGAATTGACATAGGCTAATGTGTATTTTGCAAATAGGGCCATGTCAGTCCATGTTTTGGTATAGGCCTCATATAACGTTACCTTCCAATATCCCGTATTTTTATAATTTGACGATTAATTACCGGAATTGTTACAAATTTCGTATTCGAAGTTCGGAATCAGTACTACAGTCTATGACAAAAAAAAAAAATTACTTATGCAGGTTCACGTGTTCGCATAGCCCCATACAGACTAAAACAGGGTATATTTGCCTCCTATTGACAACCTTTGAATTATCTATTACAAATTTAAGACCTTCTGAGTTTCTTCAATGGCGGGAAAATCAACTAGATGTTTGACTGATGATATGTATGATAAGTTACTTGTCACTGGAGACAGTTCCAAAAATCATACATACTTATTTTCAATTCATCATAGAAAATTTCCATTAATAATTTCAAAACACCTCGCAGACAGGCAAACATTCACATTCAGCAAATGTTCGAAACCAATTTACATAGCCAAACAGACATCAATGTTGAACGTTACTTTTTTTCTTTTTGGCACCCATCATCTTGCAAATGTTGCAAGAAAGACACAATTGAGAAAGATGATTGGCCCGAATGGTGGCAAACGAACACCTGAGATGTGCTTTTTTCATGTGAATCCCATTCACATTGTTCAACAACAACAGCCAAAAACACCACCATCACCACACCAGAAAGATAGGCGGCGAGAAATCAGAAATTAGCACATCAACAATGGAAAAGGAATTTAAATTACAAAAAAATAAAATGAAATAAAATAAAATATGAAAACATAAAACCCACCCTTCTCCGATTCAATGAAATTCAACACATGTGAATAATTACCATGAAAGGGTTTGGGAATTCTCATGCAAATTTATAATTATATTAAATTCTCCCATGCTAGTTTTTTTTTTTCTTTTGTGTGTGAAGGTCGTTTTGGTTACTCTTTAAAAAATAAATAAAATACAAAAAAACAACCACTGCTCCAGGTGAGGCTCGAACTCACAACCCCGGCATTGCTCACAAGTTACTGATTATAAGTACCGTGCGCTAACCAATTGCGCCACAGGAGCTGTTGCAAAATTGCTGGCTAAATATTTAGCGGTGATCGGCCTTAATATTCACATGAATCCAGGATTAAGTAGTTTTGAATAAGGATTTTGAAAATTAATTTTTTTTCATTTTATTTAATGATTGGTATTATTATATTTTAAGGAAAATTCAAAAATTAACAAATTTGTAATTATTTTAAAAAAATTATTGGAGGCATTTGAACAATTTTTTTTTTGAAAATATGCGGGATTGTAAAAAACATATTAAATTATTTCAGCTCAGGAAGAAAATAACACGAAACAGCACAATCCCAAATTGATGCCACATAAATTTAAGATTAAATTTAAATCTATGGCATGTGCAATGTAAATTTAATAAAGAATAAACTCAGGAGCCTTAATAAATTTATGCATTATATATGTTTTTAAAATTCGAATTAGTATTGAAATTATAAGTATTCTTCAACACGAAGGTTCGGTCACCAGTGTCATTCCATTTGATTTTTCGCCTGGTAAAATAAATTATTTAAAGTGGAGAAAATCATAGAATTACTTAATTTTTTTATAATTTCTTTATTTTTTAATTACGATTATTTGCGGGAAAGGAGTGGTGCAACATTACCCTAAGTTTGGTAAAATTGGGCTTTGTAGAACAACGGTACTTTAACTGCTTTCATTTTCCATTTACAGGGTTGTAATTTTGGAAGCAGCAAATTTAAGTGTTAGCGTCAGAAAAAGAGAGTAAGTTATCGATGTGGGAGACTTGTGCTCAGTTTAACATGGTGGTGTTGTGTTAGGGGTGCTGCACTATAATGCAGAAGGTTCCAGGTTCAAGGCTCGGCACTGATGTGTCGTTTTTTTATTGTCCATAATAAACCAAGTTAGAAATAAATAGTATTTTCAGTTTTTATACTCTCACCATACATAGAATGGAGGGTATATTAAGTTCGTCATTCTGTTATTAATTCATTGAAATAATTTTATTAGAACTAACAAAGCATATATACCCGTCCGTCCGTCTGTTGTAATGAAGCTAGAGTCAAAACGAATTATGATAGGAAGCTAAAATGCATACATCTGTTTTTTGTCGCAGGCAGGCCAAGTTCGAAGATTGGTTATGAAGGTCCACGATATCCTATAACCCCTGAAAGAGAATTGTCTATGTAGGTCCACGATATCGAATAGCCCCCATACAACGGTACCCCCGATATTTTTTTAATTTTTAACGGAATTGACAAAAAATTGTATATGCAGGACCACGTCTTCGAATAGCCACCATATAACGGTTTTCGTTTGAGCGGTATTTTTTGACGTTTTTTTTTGGAAATTTTAAAGTTCCTTCAACATGATTGAGGGTATTAAAAGTTGGGCACGGGCAAACTTATCTGTTTGTTAACTTGTTATCTTCTAAAATCTTTACAAAAAAGCGTTAATAAGCTTTCGATATCGATACCTTATTCCAGAACCCACAGTTATTTCATTTTTTTCAAATGTTTATACATTTTTTACCAGAAATTGGAAATACTTTTATATGGGGTCCATTCCCAAAAAAGGAAAAAAACATAGATCTACATTGAATAATATAATATATATATAAAATATATGTTTAACTTTTAGACCAAGACCCTTTAAAACCAATAAAATTTGTCGCTAACGCCAAATGGGACTTATATCAAAATGTGAACCGTAGGAACAATCTACACTCAATGAGAGCCCAAATTGTTAAAAATTGGCTATTGAAATATAAAATATTAAGAAGTAATGTTATACGGGACTACATCAAATAATGGACCTACACTGAGCGTTTTTAAGTTCTCAGAGAGGATTTTTTTTATATATTCTGGATCAGGACAAAAAAATTCTAAGCCGATTTAGAAGGCTAAATTAATTAATTGGTACTGCAACATATGACAAAAAATAACTTATGAAGGTCGGGATCGGTACTATAGCAAATAAAAAAAAATAATA